GATTTGTCCTTTTCATATGTGTTCCTTTTTTTTTAGTTGTATCCTTTGGTATATATGGTCGTGCCTATTTTCTTCCACTATTTGATCTGAGGAAGTGGGTCTGGCCCACGAAAGCTCATCACCTAATAAACCATCTTGTTAGTCTTTAAAGTGCTACATAGTCCTGTATTTTGTTAATGATTCCTAACATTCTGTTTGCTTTCTTGACTGCCGCTGCACACTGAGTGGATGTTTTCCGAGAACTATCCACAATGATGCCAAGATCTCTCTTGGGTAGTTGTAGCTAAATTAGTCACCATCATATTGTATATGTAGTTGGGATTATTTTTCAAATGTGCATTACTTTACATTAATCAACATTAAATTTCATTTGTCATTTTGCTGCCTAATCATTTAGTTTGCTGAGATCTTTTTGAAGCTCTTCACAGTCTGCTTTGGTCTTTTTTAGCTTATTGGCTGCATCTAGATTGGCATGTTTTTCCGGAAATGCTTTTAACAGAAAAGTTTTCCATTAAAAGCATTTGCGGAACAAAGCATCTAGATTGGCACGGACGCTTTTCCGCAAAAGCACTTTTTGCAGAAAAGCATCTGTGCCAATCTAGACGCGGTTTTGCGCAAGAAAGCCCCGATCGCCATTTTCGCCATCAGGGCTTTTTTTGCACAAAACAAATCTAGGCTGTCTACACTGGCCCTTTTGCGCAAAAGCTTTGTGCAAAAGGGACTTTTGCCTGAACGGGAGCAGAATAGTATTTCCGCAAGAAGCTCTGATTTCTTACAGTAGGAAGTCAGTGCTTTTGCAGAAATTCAAGTAGCCAGTGTAGACAGCTGGCAAGTTTTTCCGGAAAAGCGGCTGATTTTCCAGAAAAACTGGCCAGTCTAGACACAGCCTATTAAGTATAACAAGTAGGATTTATTATCCATAAATATTATTTATCATTGTAAATAATAATCATCAGGGAGAGGACAACAGCAGTGCTTCTCTCCTTTTTCATTGATAAAGAGAGCAAATCTTATGAGCTTGTACCCCTGTAAAACTTTTATACAGAGTAAGAACATATTTATTCAGAGTTTTGGTCTCATTAGAGTTGTGCTCCTGGTTGCTGTCCAGTCCCTTTATATGAGCCCTCCCAGAGCTAACTATAATCAGTGGCTGTGTTACTGTTGAGGGCTTTTACCCCAAGTCTGTCTCTTTCCTACAGAAGACCAGAACTTCTGGGCCAGCAGGACAGGCTGCTGGGGTGACCCAAAGGCCAGGTAGATAGGCTCAGTAGCATGATCAGCCTATCAAATGATCATCTCAAGGTATCACAGCTATCTTTAGAAATTGCACATTAGTACCTTTTTGTGTTTTGTCAAATGTGTAGTGAAAGTGGCTTCTTAAAAAGAACATAACTGGTTCATCATCTGAGACTGCTATAATATGAAATATATGGCTGAATGCAGA